ACACACACACACACACACACACACACACACACACACACACACACACACACACACACACATATATATCAATATACACACCCTCTAGAATACAGAATATAATAAACCTGTGCAACATCTTCATTCAGCATGTAATATCAGCATGCATTATTTAAATATATATTTATACTCTATCTGAACTGGTCCTAAAAGGAACACAAGCACAGAAAGCGCGAGAGAGGCTGATTGCAATCATACATAATCTATAAAACAATTCAAAGGCACAGCAATACACATTTTATGAATTCTCTTTAAATTTGAGAGAAGAAATAGTTATGTTAAATGGTCAGGTGATTTTGGAAAAAAAAATTCTAAACAACACAATACAATGAGACAATTTCAGCAGTGTATTAAACTTACCAATATCACATCCATGGTTCACACAAATGACTACATCTAAACCACCTTTACTACCAAGCTGTCTGAAAACTCCAATAATAAAATCACAGTGAATAAATCATGTATCAATCATCACATAAACATTAGACAGTTATTTATGAGCAGGCTGAATCACTCCCGGCTGTGAATGTAATTGTAAAGCAGAGCAGGTGTTCAGAGTTCAGGAAACATACCCTTTGCATGATCTGTGTAGCGCAGAAATCTAGAGCGTGTCCTCCAGGGCAAGACCTTTATCCTAAATAAGCTATTGAAAGAACACGGCGCATACACACACAGCAATGCCAAACAAAGCTGAAATTACTTGTTGCCATGGTATCCACGTGGGACCATTAAGCATTGGTCAAGTCAGACTCCCGCTCTAAGCCAAAATACTGAAGTACCTGCAGCATAATAGTCTATACGGTTATTCAGTGTCAGAAGAAGGTTCCTTTATGACTTTTTTTTTTCTCCCTGTGCATGAGGGGAAAAACACTTTAAGGGAACAGAATTGATGTCCAATAACAAAAACCACTTATTCCTTCTTCTTCTTCCACTGTATAAAATATATGTTTTTTATCATAATGTATAAAATAGCCATTCATTGTTACAAATGGCTTATTTTATCATTTAAATTTAATTTGAATGATTCTGTTTTTTATTTTAACTATCAAGTCCAAAACTTTTGTTTAATAAATTAACATTTATATTTATTCATTTAGCAGATGATTTTTTCTTAGCAACTTATAATACTAATGTTACAAATGTTTCAAATAGCCTAAATTATGTTGTTTTTTTAGCAGTAAATCAGAATATTAGAATGATTTCTGAAGGATCACATGACACTGAAGACTGGAGTAATGATGCTGAAAATTCAGCTTTGCATCACAGAAGAAAAATACATTTTAAAATATATCCAAATAGAACATTTTAAATTGCAATAATTTTCACAATATTCAGTTTTTTATTGGACTGTTGATCAAATGAAATAGCACAGAACATCTGACAACATGTTGTGTTGAATAAATAAAATTCCTAAAAGAAGTTTCATAAAATAAATTCCCATCTAAAAACAACTAAAATTGAGATTTGAATGCGGTAACGTAAAAGTGGAGTGAATAAAAAAAATAATTCAACATTTTCAGCACTCAAAGCTATCGTATGGGTTCAGAAGTCTTGCAATATAGCGCAATAAGTTGCACAGGCTACTTAAAACAGAGCAGCTTCAACATTCTTCTAAATATCTACTTTTATGTTCCATGCAGGTTTATAATGACATGATGTAACACGAGTAAAAAATAACAGCATTTTTCTTTCACTTCAGCTATCATCTGTAAAACTGTAACTATTTGTAACTAATTGAACCACACATATATTTGCTTCCCCACTCTAGTACATGACCAAAGAAAGGCCACTAGACAGAATAGTGACCTATTTTACGGAGACTGGTGCAGATTAAAGTGTTTCAGGACCTTAATGCTGACAGTTGACGCAGATGAACTCTGCAAGGTCAGACCGAGTTCACTCTCTGGGTCCAAAGAGCAATAACCTGCTGGTTAAGTAATGTGCTGTTTTCTGAGAGTGTTGTCCATTGCCTACATACAATCTGAGTACAGGTTTGTCAGAAACGAGAGGAAGCTCTCAAGTGCTGATTTCTCCCTCGACTGCTCCAATTACCCTGCCTCTTATCTGCTCAATCTCTGCATTAGCAACGCCTCTAGCTTTCACTGTTCACTTTCCCTTAACACTGTGGAACCACTACCCTCTGGACTGTTTAGAATTTGCATTGTGAAATTAAATTTTGGAACAACAGCTCAGAAAACCTGCTATTCTTCTCCAAATCCTAAATTCATCAAGGTAATGGGTAACGCAAAAGTACACCTGTCCTACATGTAGTTATTCGCTAATTTATGGTCATAGGTATACTCTGGGTTCACCTTTTAGGTCAGTATATACACATTTATGTGCTTAACTAACAATTAATGAACACATGAAACTGGGATGTTAATGTATCTTGTCCTCAGCTGTGTAAATACATTTAGCTAATGCTCTATTGATCCGTCTTCTTACTAGGTCACTGGAAAATATCACACAGTGCACGGACAGCATGCTAATTGTTGTCATAAAAATTACATTTGTTGATTTGAATTAATGCCATTTGCTGTATTAAAACAAATTTAGCAACAAACCAAAACATAATTTATAATTTTTTTTTTAATCTAAATGCTGTATTTCTTTTCAGCTAATACAGTAAGATGTATGTCCTCATGTGACTGTGAGTCTCTGGCTACATTCACACCTCAGCTGAATGTGGATCAAATCGGATTTTCTGCAGAAATCCAATATTTTCTGAGGTTGTGCACATTACCTTTTAACTATGAGGTTGAGAAGATGAAAGTTTACATATGTGTGTGTGTGTATTCAGGGGCATCAAAATATTGGATGAGAAAAAAAATTGTAGTAAAAAAATAAAACAACGGCAATATTACAAAATATAACATTAAAAAGTGTATAAATTACTCATTTTTTTTAAAGAAACAAAGTTTAAAGTTACAGCGGGAGTCCGCATCTCTCTGGCCTCCCCTGAGCCCTTTGAGTTTTAACAGACCCCCTAAGTTTGATGCGGGTAATTGAGAATGAATGGGGGAAAGTCACGTGAGAGGAGGCAATGTATCGCGATATGATTGGATATGACTGGTTATGTTCAGCCGTGATTGGTCCAGGCAATAAATCCCGCCTTTTGTATTCATGCGCGTTCGTGGATCTGAATGAACTATATAATGGCAGAAGACTAACTGAAAAAAGTAAGTAAACAACTCATAAACTTAGATATAACCACTTTGTTACATCAAAATAAGACTTGAAATGGCACGAAAACATGATCTGTGAGAGTTTTTAGTGAGTAATCAGCTTGGTGAAATTTAGGCCTAAATCTCTGTGTTTGTGACCAATATTTACTGAGCCTTGATGACTGATGATCCGAAAAATTCAAAAATAGTTACAAGTTAACTATTAAAAAGAACAGCTGAACATATATAAGTTCACAAATAAAACATATTGTTTAAATTGTTACTGCCTTGAGTTATTATTTTGGAATAAAAGTACAATGCTTAAAAACACTAACTTGATGAGATTCATATGGCTTTAATAAATAGAATATTGATTGCATTAATATAAAAATATTAAATAGATTTTTTTTCTTACTTTCTGTAAGTAATGTTTATTTAACCAAGAAAATGACGTGACTGGGACATGAATTTACATTTGATCAAAAAAAAACTTGCCTCCTCATTTCAGAAGACCACTATACCACTGATATATATATATATATACAGGGCTGTACGTTAACTTTTTTTTTTCACATAGCACTGGTGCTACAGAGGTTGAAAGTTTTGTAGCACAGGCCAAAAAGTTGTAGCACAAGTATAAAACGTCTGTTATCATGTCTGAAAACAAACACAAGTAATGGAGTTCATCACTTAAACAGGCACTAATGTTCCATACAGAGCACAAAAAATACAAACCATCACAAAAATTGTTTTAGACAAAGTTTTCTTAATTTGCTAAAAATGGAAGACTGCAGAAACATAACACCTCTTACACCTTAACAAAATATAAAATAAAAAACAATGGCAGACATTTAGGCAAAGTTAGCAAAGATAAAAATCTTTGTCATTATTTTATCTTTGTTATTAGAATTTTTTCAGGTACAGTATTTAGCAGTATTTACAAATTTTTATTTTTCAGGTACAGTATTTAGCAGTAAAATTCAAGAAATTGAATGTACAAATATTAAAATAAAACACTATATACATCAATTATACTTTTTTAAAGCAACTGACTGATGATAAGTTCATC